AGGGATGAGGCAAACTTGAGTGTAAGCGTAATTACTACAATTACCGTACCACCACTGCTGCAGAGGAGATTGCTTCCGAGAAGATGCCTGTTCGACGACATCGAAAGTGGAAAGTGGAAGTAGTGGAGGATAAACAGAGAACAAATGATGAAATGCGAGGGAGTTAATTGATAAGAAGAAATTCTCGGAATTGTTGGGCCTTTAGTATTTTTTGGAAAATGTAATATGTCGATTATTAGAAAATTTTCGTCCTGGAGCGTCAGGGCGGCAGTACCTGCGAGTGGTCCAGGCATTTCTGCAGATGTGGGAGATTCAACCGGGTTGGAAATATATATGCGAATAAATACTTGCGAATGACCCCGATGTCGAGAAAGACTCATAAACACGGCACGTTGCGTAATCCACCCACTGCTGTAAAGGAAATAACCGAGAAACGGGATCCTCGGCTGTCCTCACTGTCCTCATCACTACCAGGAGGTGAGACCGAGGATCAGACTACCACACAAACACACACAAACATACATTTAACGTCAAGTTCAAAATTAATTTGCAAACTTGCAAGATTTAAGGAGTTTTTGACACTATCTTCTCATTTTTCATGTTTTTTTTTGGGAACTTCTGGGAAACCTTGGGTCAGGTTGACGTGAAAAATTATTGCGTTTTTTGGTTTTATTATTATTCAATCACTCAAAAATTCTCATAGTCGTGCGTCCATTTTTATAAATTTTCGGTAATACTTTGGGAATTTCGATATTGATAAAACTTGAAACGATATATTTTTGGACGTCAGTCCCATCGATAATTTGAAAAAAAAAACATGAATTTTGGGTAAATGGGTGTCGCACATTCTTAAATAATGAAAGACTTGGCAAACGTTTCTAGCAGCGTATGTACCACCACATAATCATGTATTTGCAAAAGCAAGAGCCGAGTCAAGGCAAAGTGGCAGAATGGCAGAGTGGCTAACCACCGCCATCTAGAATCTCCTGGTATCTTAGATTCTGGTCATCTATACTCTCAGGAGCGTCTGGTTATTTCCCCTTCCAGATGCTCCTGAAGCAAAGAGTTCAAGTTCTTGTGAATTGACGGGACGATAGTCGGCGATAGAAGATAGAGGGAATGGGAATTCACTGGCTTGATTAAAATGGGAATAAAAATGGGAAAAAAATTAATACAGAAGAACTATGTGTTGAAAGCCAAAAAGTTATCTTCACACGCGAATTATTGGATTTAACGATGCCTTAGAGTATGCCCTTGGTGGTAATAAAATTGAAGGGAAACGTAGGAATGCTGAAGATGACCTCAGTCTTTTCATGTAACGCGTATCTAAGCACATATAATGCTATCAAACCGGCTTGGTCGAGGCCAATGTTGCAAATCCGCGTCTCTCAAGTCCACTTGATGTTTAAAGTCTCAAACATTTTTTAAACATTTCCTCCCTCCACCCACGTGATAGTCTCGTCTCCACCTCATTACCATGCCAGGTTCAACAGTGAAGATCTTGATCTTGAAAATGGTAGTGCTGTAACGACGATACAGGCCATAGTTAACCGGAAGTATCACCTAGCTCACTGTATTGTCCTGTAGGCTATTTCAGAAGTTATATGTTCAGTATCATATATCTTCAATCAGCGAGAAAAATGAATAATGTTGAGAAAAGTAACAATAATGATAATAAGACTGATGATAAAGCAAAATAAAAAATGGTGGGCTATTATCGGAAGCAAATCAAGGTTGGGGGAAGGGGGATATATAATAAAAGAGGATCAAGGCGGATGAAGAACGGGTTGCTGTACATACGTCAGTATGAGACCTGGACGAGGAATAAGAGGGCAGAATGAGGAGGGGAAGATGGTTCGTGTGCAGACACTCTCGTAGCACGTTGCTCGGTTAATTACGGGACTCGCATAAAAAAAGCCCATACGAGGAAAGACTCCACTCCCTTATGGTCGATTGCATATACCCTCTCCTCATACTCTCCATTCTATCCTTTTTCATCTTCACGATACCATTTTTACTCATTGATCTCTATAATTTTTCGGATAGACTCCAATTTTTATGAAGCAATTGAAAAATTTCAGCATCTTTTCCCAACTATTTTACATGAAAAAGACTGTTTAATTATTGATTCAATTATTGCTTCAGTTATATTGAATATTAAAATTGTTGAAATTGTTTCTTGTTCTAATATCCGCGGTTGTTTACAAGTGATATAGAAGGTGCTTAAAGCGATAACATTAGGAATAGCAGTGTTATACCGTTAAGGATAACACATCTTCTCGAGAGATGTTGCACATACTGTTATATTTGTTGTCTCTATTTCTGCAAGCGCGCAGAAGAGACAGCTGATGCAAACACGCCATTTTCCCAATATCAGAAAATTGATAAAGAGAAATGACAGAACAGTATTTAATCAGTCGATATTCAACCAAACCAGTGAAGGGTAACCGAAAATTTAAACGCAATGAAAATAAATGAAAAAAATAATATGACGTCTATAATAGTGGATGGAAGTGAGTTTTTTTGATAGAACGTAAGAAGAAGAAGCTTCGAGAAAGGGGGCGGTGATGATTTTTTGTTTCCAAGTCTTCTACACTATATCATCCTCGTTCCTTAACTGCTTTTTCACTTTCTTATGCTCTCCTCTTCCTACCAGGGCCAGCCTCTATACCTGAACGAAAGAGAAGAATGCCTCCAAGACCTACAATACAGCTCCAACAAAACCGATGGATAATCAATTTTTGAAGAATTTCAACAGTGACTAGCTCTCTATGGGTTCACATCACTATCTTGCGTGATTTACTCTCATATCGTACCAAATTGGTGATGATATAATTGATAAAATGATGCGAATACTCGGAGAGCCTAAGTTTTTTACACTTTCATTTGGTATATGGTGATGAGACAGATGAGAAGATCTCTATAGATAAAAGAGGATGAAAAATAAATAGGGTTTTGGACCGAGGGAGATGCTGGTGGGATTTTACTGGAGCCCCTTAAGAGGATGGTACAATAGACCGAGACATAGTCAAGGTCGACCTGACTAGCCTCAGGACTGATCCATGAGGGCCTCATTAACGGGTCGCTTTCAAAATTTTCATTCGGAATACACTACCCGAATGAACAATTTTGAATTCATTCCATCACTCTTTATCTCGAGTTAATTAATTACTCGTTCATAATAAAGAATTTCCACGAATATTCCGGGATAAAAATGATTTCTAATACAGTACTAATACATTAACAAATGCAGATAGGCATATTGATATTGAGTTGGGCGCAACATTACGCTGCTTTAAGTATAATTAATACGGACCCTTTGGAATGCCAGTCGCTCTTATAGTTACCGCTTGCCCTTTTTTCCTTCCATTCTCCTTTCTTCAGTTCTCCGCCATTTTTTATTCTCTTACGTATACGTTTAAAAGGTATATTCTCTCGAAAGTTGAATATTTCCATTAACCATTAATAATCATTAAGTTGGAATATTTTCACATTGCAGAGAGACTCCGAAGGGGTGTGGGATTATGGGGGTTAAAAAAGAGAAAATTAATGGAAACTCCACATTGGATTTTGGGGATAATTAGAATAAATTCCACGGCCAGTTGCTAGTAGAGAGAAAAGAGGAATAACATACCGGAGGTGAGTGCGTGTAAGTTTGACGCAATGCGAAAATATTTAGCCTCGCACTTGGAATGCAATTCAGTTGGAACGTGTATGACTGAGATGAAGTATAAAAGAGTCATGTTGCTTGAGGTGTTTGTATGTGTATGGAAGTTGATGGAGAGGTTGTACGGTACCCCATTGGAGCGCATAGTCGTGGAAGGGAAGGAAGAGAGTAAAGGAAGATGACAACGAGAGAAGCAGCAACTCTAGCCTGAGCTCAGCTGAGGTGGGGTGAGGTAAGATGAGGTTCACTCATAGCCCTAGCGAGACCAAGAAGAAGCGGCAGCCGTAAACGGCAACAATTGCTCCGGGCGTTGCCACTCGAAAGAGCCCAGGTACTGCCTAATGCCAGATGTCAGACGGTGGTTAGAATCATTACGCTCATCACTTTGTATTTCACAAAATATGTACCGAACTAAAAATAATAATAACTCGGAAAAAAACGGGGAATTTCTCATAGAATTGAAATGACGCCAGCTTGAGTTGAAAATCTCATTAGAGCACAGTTGTGAGGTAGTGGTATTTTTGAAAAATTATTTTTCATTTTGTAAGAATGGGGTAGGTCTCGTCATAAAAATGTCTCAATGTGCTATCATCAACATCGCTCACAAAAGCGTCAATCAAACGCGATCAACTTGACTGAACTGATCATGACTTTATAAAATGTAAAAGACGTTTTCAATGACATCACCACCTGGGGACTCGGGGCTAGAGACAAGGTGTGATAATTCCATTGGAATATGAATATTAAAAATAATAATAGCGTGAGTATGGAATGCCGATGAGATAAGAGGAGAAAGATTGGAGTGTGCTTTGTTGGAAGAGTAGAAGTTGTAATATTTGACGAGAGGAGCCTATATATTTCACGGACAAAACTCGTTTTGAAGCCTCTTTGGGTTTTCTTAGCCCATTGGTGAGGTTCAACGGCAATAAGGTGAATCACTGAGGGGCGCGAACCAAGGGGTGGAGCTCATAAGAGTTTGCAGAACGTCGAAAAAAAAGCAAAATAAATAAATGAAACGAAAACATAAAAAATGTCTTGGAAGAAACGGAGAGGTGAAGGAAAGGGAATGGATGAAAAATGTGTAATTATAATAATTACAGCCGCGTGGACCACAATTATAAATCAGCATTGTATTAGTGGATGAGATGTTTAATGAAATACAGCATCAACCGGCTCATCAAGTAGCATACCTCAATGCTACAGACAGAGAGAGAATGCTATTTCTCATGTATTTTTCATTGGTAGAAGTTATCAGCCCCCCAGAACTCATCGTAGATGAATATTTTGTTGATGGAGTGAAATATTAAAAAAATAAGTATTGGTCATTTCTTACCTTGACGAAGCAACTGCCGATGGATAAATTTTCAGCAACGGTGGCATTGTAGAGTGGCTTCTCGAAGATGGGCTCATTGTCGTTGAGATCGTGAACAGTAATTTTCACAATGGCACTACCACTCAATGAGGGTCTTCCTGAGTCGGTGGCAATGGCAATTAATATGGGGGTTGGATCAGTCTCGCAATCAACATGTGTAACAGTACTTATCAAACCACTATCCTCATCAATCTTGAACCAACTTGTGTTCTTGAGAGAATATTTAATTGCTGAATTGATGCCCTCATCGGCGTCAGTTGCTTTAACCCGCAAAACAGGTGTACCAGGCTCAGAGGCTTCAAGTAGATGGGCTTCATACCTTTCTTCGATAAATGTTGGAGCATTATCATTAACATCAGTGACAAGCAATCTGAAAGTTCTTATTGCTCTTAGCGGTGGTGTTCCAGTATCAGTTGCTTCAACTGATAAATCATAAATGGATTTCTCTTCTCTATCCAATGGCCTCTCAACAACAACGAGATAAATAATATTATCTCTTGTTGCTAAACCAAAGTGTCCATCGCCACCGGACAATGTAACAGTGGCATTAGAGTATTCAGTTCTTGAATCTGGATCGCTTACTGATATTCTAGCAACAAATTCTCCAGGTTGAGCACTCTCACTTATTTTCGGTGTTGCATCGTCCGATAAAAATATTACCGTTATTGTTGGCTGATTATCGTTAACGTCTGTCACATAAATTGATAAAAATGCACTTGCTTCGAGGGGTTGGGCTCCTAAGTCTCGAGCAACAATGACCAATTCATGTCTCTCTCTTGCTTCAAAATCTAGAGGCTTATTGACATACAGCATTCCACTCTCTGGATCAATGCTGAACATTTCTTCTCTGTCACTTTGTCTCCTATTTATTGAATACTCAATCTTGCCATTGAGACCTGCATCGGCGTCTGTTGCATTAACAACAATAATGGGAGTACCAACGGTGGAATTTTCTGGGATACTGGCTGTATATCTCGTTTGATTGAAAATCGGAGGATTATCATTGACATCTTGAACGGTTACATCGACACGCAGACGAGAATGCAGTGGTGGAACACCTCCATCGAGTGCTTCAATAACAAGCTGATACGACGATTTAACTTCTCGATCAAGTACACCTGAATTCTGAAGATCCAAATATAAAACCCCATCTCTACCTCGATGTTGCGAAAGCCTAAAAACATCTCCATTATTTCCACTTATTATTTCATATCTCTGGGCTGAATATTGCCCCAGATCTGGATCTTTAGCTGGAGGCAGAGCTCGTTTAGAATCCCGTGGTGAATTTTCAGGAAATTCTACGTGTACGTGATCAATGGGAAATGTTGGAGCATTATCATTCTCATCCAATACTTTAATAACAACTCTAACATTTTGTGGCAGTGCAACTAGACTGTAAGAGGGACGAGTTTCTCTATCCAAGCCGACTTTTGTTCGAATTTCACCGGTCGACGGATCGACAATCAAATCTGTTTTAACTGGAGAACCTAGAACCGGTACTATTAGAAAAGGTGGACTTTCGGCGTCTATAAAACCAACCCGACTCCCTGGTGGAGCTGACTCTGATATCTCCAGATGTTGCACTAATTCACATTGAATTTTCGATAACGATAACAGCGAGAAGAGAATCAGGAGCAGGAATGGAGGGCGTAGTCCTGCTACCGATGTCCCTGTCTCCATATTCTCCGTAGATTATCTTCCTTCCATTCCTGGTCAAATCTTCAAGTCCCACTGGACCTCCCTACGTTATCTCCCGTTTCCCCTTCAACCTCACCCACCCCACTCCCCCGCCCCCACCCCAAATTCACCAATTCACTATCACATCACGAAATTTCACTAAATCCACTAACACAGCCTTTTCCAACCACAACGACTATTATTTACAACAATATCACTCAACACTCGATCAGACAACAATGATTTACTTATTCTTTTTTTACGCTCCTTAATACTGCACCACAGATTAAAATCAGTGGATTTCAATTTGTACTTTCAATTTGGCTGTTTAGCAGATAAAATATCCCATTCTGCTTCAGCACAATCTCTTTTATTTTGTAACACACAACACAGTTGAGCCTGCCCTCAAGATTCCTCAGGGGCATTTATTTTTCAACGCACTGTAGGCAAAAGTTCAATGACTGTTACAGGTTGAGAATGATCGTGGTTTGCGTAAGTAGCCTCGGTGGAATGAGCTGATTGTTTAATACTGCCGAAAGGATCACTGATGGGTGAGGTTAGCTCAAAATTAACAGTAATTTTTCCATGTTTTGGTTATTGTGTGGGATAGTGTAGTGTAGGCTCCGCGCGGCTTGGAAGTTAGGCATGCACTGACATGGCGGCACCTGCGCTTTACCCACTCTACTACCTTTGCACAGCGGCAGGGGGAGAGGAAACCTTCTCTTCTTCTCTGGACCAGGCTTGTCAGCCATCTTTGTAGTAGGGGAAACGGGCCCCCGCATGCCCCGCATATATATGTACAACTATTCCCCCCACGGTCTTCCCTCCCCCTCTCAGGCCCCCATCAGGCCCACCACAATATCCCCCCTCAACCCTCCTCCACCGTCCTACCCTCGGCCAGTGGTGCCTCAAACTGTACCTAAAATGTATTAGCTTCCCTATCCCAGCGTTCAAATCACCTTACAATTCCACCTAGAGACTTCACGTCACATTTTTTCTTCTCAATCTCTTTCCGACATTATTCTATTGTTGAAGCTTTTTTTTAAGTTTATCGAGGGAGAGAGTAAAATGGAAATGGGTACAAGTATAGGATATTTTTTCTCTCGGCCCTTATCTTCTGAATTTAGAGATTGTTTATAAATAATTCTGTATATCACTTTTTTTTTAAATCTCTTTCGAGCACTATTCTGTTGTTCTAGAATTTTTTTATTTAAAAAAATGAGGGTTTTTAACATTTAATTGGGGAAAAGAGGGGATAAAAGTGCGCAAAAGTATGGCACATTTTTTCTTTCGGCGGTCATCTTTTGAATTTATATATTGTTTATGAATAACTGACATAGCTGTCTGCATCTTACTGGTGTACATAGATGAGATAGGGATATTACGGGGATCACCGCCTACTCTTCAAACGGACAATACATCGTTCGTCCACGGTGCATCATCGATCTTATTGTTTGCCTAGGACCGAATGCGGCTTTTAGCGTTAACAAAGGAAGTAAATAGGAGCGGAGGAAAGTTCAGAAGAATTCAAAGTTTTAACCGCTCTTTATTATTAGTTCACATAGCAGCGGTGCATGTTTTCCGAGTAAATATTTTTTTTTTCCTCACTTTTCTCTTTTCGGCACTGAAAAAATATTGCTCGCCAAATTTCTTGGATTTTTCCAATGACAGCTCAAGTAGTAGTGTCGGTTAATACATAGGAGGGAAAAAAGGAGGTAATAAACAAGTTCTTCTGGATCCTTTCCCCTCCATTGTCTCTCATCATTAAGAGATATGATTGCAAGCTTGGGGTGAAGACCACCTACACCAATGGCAACAACGTACCTCTCCTCTGAGGAAACAAAAATTAGTCCTTTTTCGTAGAAATACAACCGGAGACTGAGACAATCTTGTCAATTAGTTTCTCGCGGTTTTCCTTTCCATTCACCTCATCACTTATTTCTCATCTCTTCCGAGAAAAAAATTTCAATGCACCTGAAGAAAATAAACTTGCAGCACTCAAAGTCGTTAGGTGAAATTGGAAAATGAATCTTCAATTTTTTGTATAAAAATGGGTATGCAGGGGAAGAACTGAGTATGAGATGTGAAAAAGACGGTGGGTAATAAAGAAAAAGAAGGAATGGACCTAGCCGCATAATAACAGGGTTACCGTCGGTGCCAAGGCCTCACTAACGAACCCGTTCGACTCGACAGATTCGGGGCCTCTAGGAGTGCGACACTGTATTATTTCAAGCATTTTTACTCATTCACTCTTTGTGTTTCTCAGCCTTGTGGGGGCATCATCAGAAATCATTGCCGAATCCATATAATCACCTGGTGGTTACGTGCAACCGTAATTCCGAGTAAAGCCCCAATCTTTTCTTTAATAATAAGCCACATAATTATTGCAGGGAATATCAAACTCAAGAATAAAAAGCACCATTCTAAATTTTCGTTATTTCTCATATTGTTTCGTTATTATTTTATTGAAAATAAAAAGGGAAAAATGTCATTCCATGTGGAAACTGTGAATAATAACTTAAAGTGGATAATTCAGGAGGACATCTTGACGCGCCAACTCCAGCAACATGGGATCATCAAAGAACTTGTTAATGGAAACATCTTCAGATAGACCTTTTCTCCTTCTAGTTTTGAGCATAAATTCTCGTGCCAAGTGCGTCGCAGGCTGAGGCTCCAATGGTCTAATTGTAATACTTTTATCCAGTGGGTCACCTGGAACAATTTGCCAATGATGGAATACGGATAAACAAAAGGCTTGGCCTTGCGTGTGAGTTCGAAGATCGGTTTCAAAGCCAAAACTGTCGATCGCTGGTATGAATGCCTTGATTGTATAGAGAGGACTGCCTGGGACCGGTGCATCCTGGGTGACGTGACCACGCCGCTTGGCAAGGACTGTGTAAACAGCGGAGACGCAGTCAGCAGGAGCCTGAACTTCGACAAATAGATAGGGTTCCATGAGACGTGGAGTTGCCATTAAAAACGCCGAATAGGCGACACGTCGGGCCGTCGGAATTATTTGTCCGCCTAGAAAAATTATAATTATGTACTTGATGATTGATGATGAAGAAAAGGCCGTCGGTCTCGTGGAAGGGTAGACTTACCACCCCTGTGAAGAGGCTCTGGTGCAATGACTGCATCCAAAATTTTGAATTTCACATTGCGAATTGGCTCTTCGCATAGAGGACCCTCCCGCGTTCCCCATTGAAAGCCTTGAACAATGGCATCTTTAGCGCTACTCAACAGTCCTTTATCAACCTCCGAGGGTAGAGTATCGTCGACAAGAATATTCGGTCCCGTAGAGTCTGGGCCGAATGCCCAGATACTTCTAGCGGCTAAAAGATCCCAATCGTACTTTGTTTGGAAAAATTCACCCAAGCGCTTTCTGAAAAAATGAAAAATTACATTTTTTAATGAACCTATAATTTATATTTACAAGAATCAATGTAAATAATAGGCTTACTTATTCCATGTGATTTTTACATTTTCCGCCTCGATATCTTCAGCCAAACCTCTTTCCAGGGGCTCAGCAATCATGGTCAACTTATTTCTTTTGTTTGGGGTCTCAGCAAAACACTTGAGAGAACTCGTTTCGACAACAGTTTCTGCAAATGCTACCACGGGATCTGCCACTTTAATATCAATCTCTGAGTACATTTTTCTCAAGTCATGCATAGCACAATCCAAATAAAGCTCGCCGGTGCCCAAAACAACATGTTCGCCACTCTCTTCGACCCTTGTCCCCAATAGAGGATAACTCTTATTGACTTTTCTCAATCCATCCAGCATTTTCGGTAACTCTGAGGGATTCACTGGTTCAACAGCTATTTTAATGACACTCTGGGTATTGAATTTTAATGGCCTGAATATATGTAAGTCTTCGGAATTATTCAAGTCTGTAATAGTACTCGTCTTCACAATAGGCCTATCAATGCCCTCAATGAGAACCCAATTTCCAGCTGGTACTCGAGACAATTCAATAGAATATCTTGCTTCACTGATCCAAAGTCTACCAACACTTAAAACTCTTGAATCCTCTTCATCGGCCCTGGAGTACGCCTCTCCGAGGACTCGAACTTTCTGACCTGCCTCTAAAGTTCCCGACATTATTCGCCCAAGAACAACAAATAAAGTGCAATCCTCGGTAGGATACATTTTCGTACTGTGGATCATGAGTCTACCGTCAGGATTGCAGTTAATCATATCTTTAGCCAAATCTGATTCCATGGGGCCTGTGTATACGTGCTGTACTTTGACTGGTGCGTGCTCATGGGGACTCGGCACATGATGCACACACATATCAACAATCCCAGACAAATCTCCGAAAAATCGCGTGCAGACCAATCTCAACAGGGGCCTGATGTTCATCTTCATCTCCTCTGACGTTAATCTAATGCCCAGCTCATCAAGTACTGAAGGCAATGTTGTGTCTACGTCTCCAACTACTTGAGCGAAAATCTTATACAGAGGCTCCAATATGAATTCTATGAATGATCTTTGTGCTGTATTGTGTGGAGGTTTCTTCATGAATTTTCTCGTTTTTGAATTGAAATATAAATCACCCCAGAGTCTCTTTGAAAACTCATTGATATTAATATTGGAATATTGTTGAGCATAAAGAGCTACAAATGATTTCAGAGTAAAGCAGACATTATACTCTGAGGATGCAAAACAGACGTTGCCTATTGCTGGTGATACAAAAGTCGGATTTTCACTGTCTGAATACAGAGCTATTAAACCATTTATTTCTTCAATTATGTGACGTAGCTTGTAATAAGCATCCAAAGGTGGTAGTTTCAATTCCAATATGAGCCGATCAATTTTATTTATACAAACAGTAAGCGCTAATTTTTCCTGAATGGCATGTTTTAAAAGTCGCTCTGTATTCAATAAAACTCCCTCAGCTGCATCTACTACTAAAATAGCACCGTCTGACATTCTAATAGCAGCTGTGGCCTCATCCGAAAAATTGACATGACCTGGAGTATCAAAGATGTTCATCAGATACGATTTTGATTTGATATCTTGTAAAAGCAACGTGACAGGAGTAGCTTTTGTGGAGACACCACGCTGCTGTTCAGTGAATAGAGTGTCTGTGTACCTCAGGGCTTTTTCATCAGTTACACTATGAATATTTGGATGTGTTTGTCTTACTAGGCAATCAACTAGTGTTGTCTTTCCATGGTGGAGGTGTCCCAAAAGAACAACATTACGAATTAAATGCGGGGTATCCATCATATCAGCGAGGAATTCAATATTGTATGTGGTATCAGGTAATTCTTGTTCCTTTATTTGAAACTTTGATCTTTTCGTTGGAGCAATCAGTGGTTTATCCAATGGCTGAGCATCTTCCTCTTGAACCAGAGTTTCTACCTTTATAAAAATAACGAATAATACATTATAGATCGAAGTATTTTTCTCAAAAACACCAAAGTGATACTCACATCTGGCCCATAAACTTCTAGAGCACTTGGATAATAGCGTTTATCCTCGTGCAAAACCACAGACATGGATTGCTGCTCCAAATTATCTCTCTGTTCGTCTTTATCCTCTTCCATCTCCTCATCTGATCTCTCCCGTTCATCAGTGTCATCTCCAACATTGTCGTATTCATTCTCATCTTCAGATTCAGAGGCCAAGTCGGGCCCAATATAATTCCCGAACTCGTCATACAGATCGGCATCCATCCTGCCTTCAATTGAAGTTTATAATTTTATATTCCACTATTATACTCTGACCAGTGATTATTTTTTAACAACCGGTGTACATTGTACAAACATAACCAAATTTCGCGAATCAATTCGGCATAGGCTTTAAATATCACGACCTATTTATTTACTTACTTAATCTGTTTTATTTTCTGTATCTATATGCACTGATTAATACACAAAAATATCCAATTTCCCTCAAACACTTGCTTCAAAATTCAACTAACAAATTCACATTCAAGCTTTGATAATCCATGATAACTCAGCAATAGAAGCAAAGCGTGTAGTGTTGCAACATGGAATATTGGATGTACTATATATATATATGTGTAGTATGGTGTGGTGCATATATATGTATGTATATGCATTCAGTCAGTCGATAAAATGATGCAATGACCATCTGCTGATAATAATTTTTTTCCATTGAAATACACACGTTTGTGATTCTTCTTGATAAATGATAATCAGTTAAATAACAAATGATGTGAAAATGTAAATAAATGATAATTGACAAGTGAACCGGAAAAGTGGCCCCTGCGCATTCTCATCATCCGGAAATCTTAACGTGTGTCGTGCAGCGCCACAAGCCGTTGAGAATCTAAACTATATCTCCAAGCGAATCGATATTCCACTCAAATATTGACTCGAAGATTGTGTGTGGCTGTGCCAGTGTGCCTGTGCCTGTGTCGCAGGGGAAACAGTAGTCAAGTTGCAATGCGTTTTTAACATCTTGTAAAACGGAGAAAACAAGGGAATAATCAGTGCACGACAATAAACTCGACGTACAATAATTAGTGACGAAGAGGAAGCCACAATGAATTTGGTGGCGAGTGTTGTGTTAATATTCCTGATTGGATACTCGTACGCGAGCATCGAACCGACACAGACCTCCTTCAACGATCATGGAGGTGATTTTTCTTCTCTCACTGTCCCCGACATTCTTCCATGAAAAGGAAAATAAATGAAAAAAAAAAATAAACTCCAGCGCCTTGTCTCTTTCAAAATTTCTCCCCTGCCTCTCTAAATTCAGATCGTCATGTTAAATAAACTTCTCGACCTGTGGGAAAATATGCAATGAACCTTTTAATTTTTAATTGTTGGATGACGATGTGATGCATCGAAGAGCCCTTTTACCTCCCGTGTTTCAATGAGAGCACCTGTGATGGCGAATTCATCATACTATAGACCTCAGTGACACATTCACTCTACACTTCAATCTCTAATACTATACCTATGCTTTTTTATCCGTATTTCATTTAACCATGTTATTATGATGATGAGGATATAATTTTTCCCTTTTAAACATTGAGAGATCGATATGGCCTGAATATGATCTACTTATCAGAGATGAGTTATTGCTATTGCAGTTGGATAGGTTTTGAGATTTTTAAGGAATAATCCAATGGAATAATAAAATGAATTTTTCAGTTCCGAGATTGGATTTGGATAGTTTGGAGTCTGGCTATCACGGTTTAGTGAAGGAAAATGAGACTCTGGTGGAGGTGACCCCGCAAATACGTGCATTGGGTGGGAAAGTTTGCTCGTTCCGCATAGCGAACAAACACCATGGGGATGCACCCTTTGAAATCATTGTCAAGGAGAGGGGTATTGCGCAATTGAGGGCATTGAGAGTTCTCAATTGTGAAAAACGGCGGAATTATAAATTCGATATAGCAGCGGTTGCCTGCAATGGAGGACAATCGGAGAAGTATGTTTGGAGATAAATGATGCTCATTTGAATATTATTGTCACAACGTTATGAAAATGATTATTATTTTTTTCAGTGCGACTGTACACATAACAGTGATTGATGTGAATGAATATGCCCCTCAGTTTCTACAACCGGCCTATGTTAGTACCGTTGACGAGGGTCGTCTGTACGAGGAAGTTGTCCGGGTCGAGGCATCAGATCGTGATTGCACCCCGAAATTTGGTGATGTATGTAAGTATGAAATTCTCACAGCCGATCAGCCATTCGTCATTGATAATGAAGGAGCAATACGAAATACCGAGCCCCTGGATTACGAGAGATCTCACAATTATATACTGAGTGTTGTGGCTTACGATTGTGGAATGAAACAATCAGCACCAGCTATGGTGACAGTTAAAGTGAACAGAGTCTGTTCACCGGGATGGCGTGGTATACCGGAGCGTGTAGATTATGCCCCAGGTGCTGGATCTCAAGCCCTCATTCCATCAGCCAGATTGGAACTGTGCGATGCACCTTGTATTTTGAGAAATCTTCGGGCTACACTCACTCTGGCCACTGATCACATTGGCAAGGGTTGCGATAGAGATACGTACGGAGTTGATAGCCAGAGAAAATTATGCGGTGCCTCTCGTGAGAGTGTTGACCTCCTTCCAACACCGGGGCCTACAACAACATGGACATCTTCATTATCTCGTGATGAGGGTAGAGAGGCTGATGAAATATTTGAATTCGATGGGAGTAGCTCAGCGGCTATTATTCCGAGTAAAGTTCTCGATCACACTTTGGCTCAGAAATTCACTATTGGCGTTTGGATGAAGCACCGACCTCGTCCCAGGCAAGATCCACACATCAAGGAGCACATTCTTTGCGCTGCCGATGATCATAAAATGAATCGTCATCATTATGCCCTCTTTATTCGTAATTGCCGACTGATACTACTCCTCCGCCGAGATTTCTCCGAAGGTGATCCCAATATATTCCGTCCAGCAGAGTGGCGATGGAAAATACCCCAAGTTTGCGATGATCGTTGGCATAATTTTGCAATACAAGTCGATTTTCCTCGGGTAAGCTTATTCATCGATGGTGAAGAGTGGCACACGGATGATAAAAATCCCGAGGTAATTGATGATTGGCCCCTCCATCCAGCAAAGGGTGTCAACACGACTCTGGTAGTAGGGGCCTGCTGGCAAGGTTCTGATAATAAAACGAGGCATCATTTCCGTGGGTATTTAGCTGGGCTATCAGTTCTCGTTGGGAGAAATGAAAAGGCTGAGGTATTGTCATGCTTACGTAGATGCCAAGAGGGTATTCGTGTACCCTCAATGGATCTCCTCCAACCGGGCACCCAGTTATTAACAAACTCGGATTTGACAGAAGTGAGAATTGATGGTGACAATCATACAAACGTTGAGACACTTTTACGTCGCATTGGCTATTCAAATAGTCGTCGCTTCCCCACACCCGGTCGACGTAATTTCCGTTTAGATACGACAATAGTGTGTGAAGGTAGTGAGGAACGTCCATTGAGAGTACCTTCGGTTCAGTCGTACGTTACTGTTCTACCACCTCCGCGTCCAGGTATTACGGTAAATGGTACATCATATGTTGCCCGAGAATATGCCGATTTTCGTTTAGGGGTCAGGGTATTTCCAGACGCACGTGTCACAGCTGGTACAGCGGCAAGGCTTGATGCATGTGCAGTTAGCGTTTATCCGAGCTTAAATCCAGATCATGAAATTCTTGCTCTACCAACTGATACACTCCACCAATTTCGATCAATATCATCGAGAATCGATCGCGATGGAGTTGTATTGTCAGGGGCTGATACGCCATACAAATATCAACAACTCATTCGTTTGATAACTTACACAAATAGAAAGCCGGCTTACTATCTCGATCGTGTATTCAAACTGACCTGCTCTGAGCTCAGCGGTAGATTTGCCAGTAACGAGTACGTTCAAACACTAGCTGTCATTCATCCAAAAGAAAAAGCTACATCGCCACCTCATCAGTCCACCGAAACTCCATCAATCGCCAAAATATTGGAACCCTTACCCGGTCATTCTCAATTATCAAGACATCATGCCGATATTTCCGACGAATATTCAACAATTAATCTTCACGAAGGAAGTAGAACCGTCTCTGGAAGTTCTGGTGGTAGTCATGCTATAACTATTGTTGCCGCTGCTTGTATTGGTTTTCTTCTTCTCATGGCAGTCGTCGGAGCTGCTCGAGTCCGGGGTGCAACCAAACAAAGGCGTACAGCTAGTGATGAGCTTGCCGCTGAAACTGAAATGGCCTGGGATGATTCGGGTTTAGCAATCACTGTCAATCCAATGGACCGTTTAACCGATGATAATAATACACAAAATCCTCATCAGAGAGATGACGATGCCGAGGACTCTGGCACCTCTGACTCTGATGATGATTCCTTCAGGGATGATGATCTTGATACTACCGATTGCGAGAATGATTGTGATTTGGCAAATGGTAGACATCGACGTCATCACAATGCTCCTCATGATCTTGAGTGGGATCACGATCATGGAGTTTAATCTTTTTGTCAATTCATCATTCAAGTTACTCATTATTAACATCCTTTTTCAATGATTCGGTATTAAGGGGAGTACTCAACGTTTTAATAGTATGATGTTTTGATGGGCATCATTAATGTTATCTGCATAATGAAAATTCCCCGCTTTGTTGATTCCTCTTCTTCATCACTTTTCCTTTCTTTCATTTTTTTTGTGCATTTGCATTCGTTATGCCTCTATGATAATGGACGCTTTTACACCGCAATTAATTATACCAATGAATTGTTCTTACATCATGATATCATTGCAATTGATTTTTACTTTTTTGTAATTTTTATTTCTTTTTTTTATAAGAGTAATTCTAAAATAAAATAGCTTCCCTGTCGGGGAAGTTAGAGAAAGCGTCGTATTATATCCGTCCCTCGTAGATGGAATTCTCGAGTAGTAAATGCATATTGGATATAAAATGGAACTAATTATTATAATCGTTAGTACTCTACTTAAGCACCGTTTGAACAGAACAAGATTTGTAAAAGTGCGCGCACGCTTATTTAATATAGGTTTACTCTTTCTACCCACACTATTTCGTCGCATCGGCGATTGGTAGATTTTCAATGGGAAATGTGTATGCAATTGATGATTAACACAAAAATAATGAATGGAAAAAAAAACTAAATGAAAAAAAAAACGAGGAAAAAACAAAAAAAAATACAGAAATAACAATTTTCCATCGTGCATACTTATTGAAACAAAGATAACGCTGAATATATTTAACCTCTTCACATGTGGCCGGAAATAGAGGACTTTATTTTTCAGGTAATGAATCATTGCTATTCAGCCATATCCAAGTTACTCGATAGTATTTAATGCTTATTAATCATTTGGTTCGTTTCATTATATTGGATAGTGTTACTATTACAGAGGCTTGCTAGCGTAAGTTTGATGGGTTTTATGAGAGTGACAATCGTGTGATAGAGAACTAATAATTGACAAATTTTTCGGACAACTAAGAAAACTGATGATTCAGAAGATCTCTCCATTTTGTTGAATCATCATCATTCTATCCACATATTCGGAGTAATTGTGTGTTTATTAAACATTTTTTTATCTTTTTCTCTTTATCCAGATATTCTTCTAGATAGTTATAAGCCGAAGGAACAAAAATGTCTTGAAAAATGAATAAATACCCATCTAACTTATAATCTTCGATCGCCGTCGAGTAGACATACATATTATATCATATCCATATACATTGGTATGTGTATAGATATATGTATATGCATTTATACAGTAGTGATATTCATCAAATCAGTGGCCCAATTATTTGATTTCAAAGTAATTCCTCTTGAGAACGATTTGAAGCGATCTGATATGCCATATTAAATTTTAATTAATTTATTACTACTATTAGTTTTTCTCTCTGTTTCAGCGATTTGTTTTTTGTAAGTAAATTTTTTACTTCTGATTTTCACATTATGACGATACTGTTTACATGCATATATATCAGCATTTATATATATACGCATGTGTCTGCATGTACATAGACGCGTACGTATGTATTCCAGGAAATTCAACTCATTAAGGATATTTACGTATGTGCAAAATATTTATAACTACATACATGGCAATCTGCTCAATTGATTTTCATTATATTCTATGATGGTTTTTTCTTCTTCATTTCTGTCGCTTGATATCATTAATTTTTTAAGAAATTTTTTGCTCTCTATTTCAAGCGCAAGAAAAATATAAATGCATTTTTAATATCAATTTTTTACACCCACTGACACAAATTGGATGAAATATTTCAATATGCAATGGCATTGAGATCAACTTTTCCTTCATTTTCTTCTTGATTTGCTGTATTAATGGATTACAAATGTATGTAATTATAATAATAATTTGAGCAGATTTCAGATGGATAAACCTAATAATTTGTGTATGGGTATCAATATTTCATAGAATCTATGAGACAATTTATTTTTTCAATAAGCATATCATATCATTTTTATAGGACAACTGTCCAGTTTTTCAACAAATAAACATTGAATGGAGAAAAAATATTAATAAAATGTAAAAAAAAAAACAATGAATGATGAGAATTGCAGTCATATACTACCACCGGAATATTGTGACCGCTGCATGTATCACCCTTGCATTAATTTTGTTACAAAAAAACTTCCACTTTTATTTTCCCCTCGTTACGCAGAACTATGCAGATACGCTAATCAATAGCCACACAAACATGAAATGATTATGATGCAGCAATTTGGCTGCGGGAAAGTCTATTCTTTACTAAAATTTCGACTGCACTGGTAATCGAGCTATTGTTTTTTTTTGTTTTCCATTTTTTCCAATAATACAAGATCTGCTTTTATAAATTTTACACTAAAAAATACTAGTTTATATGAACAAAGACTATTTCTTGAAGAAGAGTTTATTCGAAAAGAAAGAAAACAACTGATTCTTACATGAAATTACTGTATTAATTATTGCAATTGGATTTTGATATTTTTAGATATGAGAAGGCAATTCACTCAAATATACAAACAGTTACCAAACGAAATTATATATATTTTATCTTTCATTTTTTGAGGCATCTATCATTTCGAAATTATTGGACTGTGTTCATTGGCAAAATGCTTACTCCACGGAGAATATTTATCAGTTAGAAATTATTAATGATCATGCAATTGAATACACTTGGGTATAAATTTGATTTCAAAGTAAGTTTTTCATAGGTATGATAAGAAGACAAAAGGTATATTTGTTGAAGCCGTTACAAAAATGATAAGATCGGTACACCGAGAAGGAAATCTACTTAAATTGAAGTCACGAATGGCAATTGTAGGTTGAACAAATAAGATTTAATGAAAAAAACAGAGAAAAAGTAAAAAAAAAATCATTAGACGATATTGTGTATTAGTTTAATGGTATAAGAAAAAAATGACTAAATTAATTGAATAAAAAAATGGATGAATATATTATATATAGTTTATTTGCCGGAAACGTCGATATGAATTAATGGTTATATAATTGTATTCATTAGGCGTCCAAATATGCACATCCACATATTTATAATGTATGTGAACCTATATTGAATACCCAGATACTAAATGTGGTCGTAGTTTTTTCACATTTTACTGTGAAAAAGAGATTGGTTGGAGGGTTACAGCCATTCACTCCCAGTAACCTGCATGCACACATGCTACAAATTATACGTAATTGGGTGATATGTAAAAGAGCTAAAAGACAAGATCGTAACAACTGCAATATCACTTTATCAATCTCATCAATGAAAAAATAAGCATCTCAAAGGTTTTCTGGACGCTGGATAACGCCGTTATAGTTATAATACTTCTGGATACAAAATATCAAAAGACGAACAAAAAAGTTGTATATTTTCCCAATTAGTTAAGAAAAATATTCACTCGAATATTAATACCCAATGACTTTTCAATTATAAATATTACAAATGATTATTTTTTTTCACTTTCTTCATGAATTCGAATTTCCGATGTTTACGTGCTCTGCCATTTGATATTATGTATCTCGAATGAACCATGGAATTTGAATAATAGACCGATAATTTAATGAGAGGGTCGAAGAAAAAACTAGCTATCAGATGGTGAAAAATAGCTAGCCTATTACCGAAACATTACTGCGAGCTAATTTCAATATTCCCTCCTAATGAAAAGAAAAGAAAAATAAAAAAATTGCCGAATGAGAAGTATATAAAATTAATCATATTCTAACTGTAAGATTATCATAATAGCACAGTTAAGGAATTAATGATAATGATGATTAAATAATGAAAGAAAAAAATGAAATAAATAAAATTGATATATCATATGCTAACCGTGTTTCAATGATAATAATACTGATGATAAGGGCTTTGGCTTGCTTAGAATCACCAATGAACAATAACAGATGTAATTTAAAAGAAATAAATTTCAATGTCGAAAAACAGAGAAGGAAAAAATCGAAATTTGAGCATAAAAATTTCTCAGTTTGTGACGCACACGACGTGTCAAATTACTCATGTTCTTTAGCCAATCTAACAAAAAAAAGAACGAATATGAACACTTGAAATGGTCAAAAAATAAAATTGATAATGTGCGATACTTATCGTTAGCGGTTGTAGAACATACTCGCGCATATAGAAGCTGCACAGATTAGAATTACACAATATTACCTAAACACACATATAAATATCACTAAGACATCAACTGTATTTGTTTAATAAAGATGTACATTCGAAAACAATTATTTTTATTACAACTTTTCATCCCCTTTCCCAGAATATTGGATTGAAAAAAAATATATGTAGATCTAACCGTCAATACTTCAATACTGAAATGGGAAAACGTTATGGCGTTAGTTATCTTATCTTCCTTCTTATCATAAAAGCAGAGATACGTAAATGAAGTTCGCCTGAGTCGAAACACGTAAGACTGATTCCCTATTGGTCAACTCGAACCCGAAGTCGAAATTCGAATTCGGCGCACGGAGTGCGCAGTAGATCTCGTATATACTGATTAAAGAAAGTAGGCGTAAGAGTTTCATTATAAATACTTGGAGATTTATTGAACCAGAGAAAATTGAATATTGACATCAACTAAATATTCAGAAACATTAGCATCGGGGAGTCCGTTATTAGGTTATCAATTTTTGGCGATTAAAACAATTTTATATTTACATACTTATAGCTAACGAAATAATAAATAAATTCTAAGAATGATCAGTTTTTCAAAGGATAGAGGATCCAGAAAAAATGATGAAAAAAAAAACGATAAACTAATGCTCTCCGTCTGTCCATTATTGCGTGTGGAATTGATTTTATGGACTGATTGAATCAGTCAACATCAGCAAACGACAATTGTCGTTTGTTCTCCACTGTTGGATGAAAATAATTTGATATTCTTTGCGCTCCAGTATAATAAAGCTCCCTGACAGACTACACTCCACACGTATGGTATAAAAAACTCTTCTGGCTGCTCTTCCTCCACATACCTGAACTTTAACTCAGGGAATTTCTGTAACGATAAAAGAAGAAACAAGACATCAAGTTTTTAACTTTTTTTTGTTAGATAGGAATGAGTGATTCTAGTCGTATTACTCTCAATCGATCCTTGGGCCATTGCATTGTTCCCTGCTGTATAGCAGCTAATACTTGAGTTACGCCGATTTGAGATTGATCAGTCTGTTCCAATTTATACGAGAAGAAATTAATTACCTGCAATGAAGAGTGAGTGAGGAAAGAATTTTTTTGAATTTATTTATTCGTTTTCATTTCATCTATTTACTTGATGATTTTTTACTTACCGAATAAATATTTTGTATGATATCTTGAAAAGCAGAATGCGTCCTGAATGATTGGAATATATCTTTTTTATACAATAGAGTATAAACTAAATTGGGATTGTGTGCGAGTCGATGAGTCAAACAGCTGTTTATGATTTCAAGGACCATTCTGAGTACTTCCTCAAGGATAGTTAGATCCTGAATTAAATCGGAATTGGCATTAACATCCCCATTCACATTGATAACAGCTGTCTCAGAATTGGATTGAGTTTGAATTTTAACTTCTAATCTTGCATGCTTTTTGGCAAGTGTTTCAAATAAACTCAACAACCGTTGACTGACATAGGGATGCAGAGATCTGAATTGCGCCGACATATTAGCCAGCGCTGCTAGACAATTGGTGTGGAGATATTTGTCCCTCATTTTCAACATATTGTATTGCAGCGTTCGAATAACAACGAGAATGAGAAGGCCTCCAAGGGAAATTTCACTGATGCATCGCTCTGTGTACCAAGTCACTCCTTTCAACATCTAAAAATGACAAATATTTTTTCAATCAATACCCATTTTCCGTATCCACATACTTTTTCCACATTTTCACTCACAATTTCATGAACTCTTTTATTGAATGAGTCATCTTCGCTGAGTATCAAAAGTATAATGAGTGACATATAGATGTGATGCGATGTATTGTCAGGTGCGTGATAGAGAATTTGCAATATAGGAGTCACCTGAAACGAAAAAATTCCTTCGTTACACCTACTGAATAAAAAAAAATAAATTTAATGAAGAACAATAGTAGTACTTACTAAAAGCTGTATATCGGTACGCTTGATGATGTGGCCTTTGATACTGGGATTTCTATGCAAAAGCATGTACAGTAGCAAAGTAACTTCATCGCTGTTAGATACTTTACATATCGTATTGTATAATTTATCAAAATTAAATCTAAATGGTATGACAGCCTTGGTCGGCATAATCGTTTCATCATCTTGTATGTTGTTGAAGGAAAATAGGGCATCTCTATAAGGATTATGTGTAGTAGTGCAGTGATTGGTGAGGACTAACAGCAGTAACAGTGATTGACTAGCTAACGGTGTTTCTGTGTCTCGTTTTTTATCTTCATCCTCAGTGGCACCATTACTCGATACTTGGATATTTTTCAAGGTACTTCCCATGCCCATGGTTATGACATTCCATAGTCCAGCTGAAACAATAAATATTACGACCATTATGATTACGGTCTTCCTCTTCCTCCTCATTATCATCAGCAGCAGGAAAAATTATCATTGGATTTACCTGCAATATTGAAAACAAAGCTGCCCCCGGCATCCCTCGTCAATAGCCCAGGTGGTGCATGTTCCTGCTGTGCAAAATTATGGAGTAGAGTACAAACAACAACAGGAGCATGTATGCTCGCCTCATGGGTCATAACAATTCGGTAAACAGTACTGTACACAGACGTTGCCGATGTTTGCGAAAATAGCTGGACCGATAAGAGAACAAGAAGACAATTGACAGCCTCTAGATGCACAACATATGTGAATTCACAAAGTGGAACATCAATAATTATCTCAATAAGCGCCTCAAATAAAGATTCAAGCTTCAATATCGTTGAAGACTCTTTTATCTCTCCGCTCGGCACTTTTGGTACAGTCTCAGCGTGTTTTATCATTTCCATTTCTCCCACTGTTTCTACCAGATATTTGAGAATACATCTCACTGCAAATAGAGCGTTGTACGTCTGCCACGCTGACATTATGTTCTGGTTGGTAACAGAGGCCAATAGTTCACTCGTCCTCGTCAATGTTACTTGAATAAGAGAACCAAAATTGCCTGTTGATAAATTATTTGTCAGCAATCTTTGACACATGGCATCCAGTCGTGAATCCAATTCTATTTGTTCATTCCTAGTCACTGGTGGGCGCATGTTGAATGAGAGGAAACGATTCCAAAAGGGATCATCAGGGGCTATACACTCTTTACCACAAAAACGCTCCAAACAGACATTCCTGGACAAATCGTCGTAACGACTCGGTGATGTCCCCATATCTCTATAATATTTCAATCTTTATCCTCTGGAAAATAATACATATCACAAAGATCAATTTTCCCTCTTAATTTCTCCACAAAAATTGATAGAAATTTGAACATATGTGGTAAGTCTGATAGAGGACAGAGCATAGTCTATAAATTCCTTCCTGACGATTAGTTTTCTTTTTTGAATGAAGATTGAAGTAAAACTTTTCAAATTATTAATTTATTTTTTACTTGATATAGATATTTATTAGAAAGAATATCGAAGGGTTTACTTTCCATAAGTTAACCTATTTAACGGTTCTAATATTCTGCCGATTGCTAATGAAGAAAACACTATTGCATTAATATTTTTCCCAGAACTGCACAATAACAATTATTTGTTTCGATTTTTATCATCTTGAGGGTGAGGGTTATCATATTATAATACATCTACACGATAACTTACAAAAAAATTAGGAAATAGCTGAAGTATCTTGTCATGTCAACGTTTAGACATGAGACACTTCTCTTTCTTGCCCGCAGAGTGCGGGAGTCTAGAGTCTAGAGGCTGCTGCACTCTCGATTACCAATGTGTTGTAACACTTTCATTTTTCCCAAAATCTGAAAAATTCCTTTGAAAAAAAGTGGAATCTTTTCCCAGTTCACCATGAAATTGCCTTTTTTAATCTCATAACCATGTCTAGCTCAATAACATTGTTATCAAGCAATTTCCTCCCATTCCAAGAATAAAAGGGAATACCAGAATTGATTAAAAAAAAATACCCTTTCCTAATAGGATAAAACGTCATTAGATGACTCATACCGAGAATCCGTGGTATTCCCAGAATTCCCTCATGCGTCACAGTTTACTATAGCATTAAAACAATATTTCCAGTAGTGAATAATTCGGTAAAAAGAAAGATTACATCCGACAGATATCAGGACAAAAAAACTTTGTTTCCTTCGTTGAATATAATCCTTACCCGATGGAATTGAAATGGGGTAGACGATATGCCACATGCGATTGCGATAAAAGTATTAAGTGATTGCCTATGAGGATGACGTAGAATCACGTGTTCCTATTTAAAGGTCAACAATGCTGCTTCGTGGCTCCTTTCTGGGAAGGGAACTATTCTGAAACATTCTTCGAAATATCGAGGGTAAGAAAATGGAAAGTTCGAGAGAAGATTTTCAATTGGTCCCTAGAAATAGTAAAAAATAGATATAATAAAAATGATTGTTTACAGTGTTTACGACATTTAAGAGATTCGTCATTGAAATAGTTCAGGGCTGGGGTGAAATGAACAAACAAGTAGTAGAAAGAAAATAGAAGAGGGCGCGGTATGGGCCTTCTTAAGAATTAAACGTAGTTACCCCCACTCTAGGTAAATACTACTTGACTTCATACTTCCCACCCCCAAAAAATCAAGTAAATGGCTGAGACAGAACTGACTCGTGTCCTATGGTATATAGGGTATTGCGCATGTACATGAGCGTCAGTTCCACTCGGACTTTGGACACGTGAACAAGATTCCAAGAGAGGAAAGTTTTTCTTTTGATTGGTCCGCTCATTGTATGGGTAAGTTTATCGTCATCAAATATTAAAAAAAAAAATCATATATATTGTTGTAAATATCAAGGTGAACGTCTTTTGCGTTAATATAATTACTTTCACTAACTTTTCAATTTCTCCGAAGTGATAATCGAAAAGACGCTTCGTCCCAAGTCCCATAAAAGAAGCAATGACCTCGCCCCGTTATTCACATGACCTTAGAATTATGATGATTATTCCAGAACAACATTGCTCGCGTCCAAATTCCTCGTATCTCCATTGTAATAATATAAATTTCTCTTTTTTTTCCTTGGCATGTTTTATGAGAGCCAATTACCCAATTACCCAACGCAAACAACAAACTATTTTGGTCTGTTTATATTTTGATATACATCATCTGCGTAATTAATTTTTTCCCTGCATATTTTCGGAAAAACATAAAGTGAAAGTGAAGAAATTGAAATACTCAGAGATCAACATATGTATCAACAAAATGTCGGCAAGACACGTGGAGTTGGAGTTGTACACTCATTAGGCGATATTGATTGATACATGCGCGCTGGAATTTGACGCTCGGTGATATTTGAATCTGATGGTATGACTCATGGTAATTGAATGATTAATAATAATTGCAGAGCGAGAGAAGAGTGAAAAGCACGGAGAGAGCCCTGTGGAGCCAATAAGCAGCTGCAGGGATGAGAATGGATATTTGCCGACGGTGGGCCGTTGGGGTAACGAATGGCCGAGTTGACTCGAGTCGGCAGAATCATGGTGCCAGCCACAGGGGCAGGCCCGGGGGCCCTGGATCAGGGGTGTTCCGCTACCCCTGCCGGTTTGGGCCCATTCTGAGTCTAAAACGTTGACCGTCGATACTGTCGAACAGTATGAGGAATTAGCAGGAAGCGTTGAGTTGGAAACACAGCGTCTACTGCGCGAGCACCGTTATGATACCATCGGCAATTTCCTAAGGTGAACATTCACTTTTACATCTATTTTATTTTTAACGAAATTTATGGCGAAACGTTGGGGGAATTTACGACTCGCCAAGGCCTCATTCGCCTTTCGCCAATTATTTCAATGTTATATACATGATAATTGATATCCAGGATAGAAAAAAAGTTGACATTTTCGTGTGGACAGAATAAATTATAATCAACAAATAAATAATCAATACTAATTCAATTGGCAGGTTCTACAGGGACTTCAAGGAAAATTCCGAACCGATGGTGGAGCGTTTTTATCACAAATATGAGCCTCTGATAACGCGTAAACATCATACTTGTGTTGGTCTTGGTTTTGAACTTATCAGCAGATTAAATGGGCTTGATGACAGATTTCCTGGTATAAAAAGTGGCCTTTACTTGGTATCATGCGAAGAGGTAATGCTCAAGAATGTTAAGACGTAATGAGATAAATTTTATCATTGACTTGTCATTGTTACAGACTATTGGAGACATTGAGGGGTACGTAGGCGGTCCGCCTGCAGCTGATATTGGTGAAAAAGAGCATGTTCTTGTTTGTCTGAAGATCAACATCAATGGACGCAGTGGTGTATTGATCCTCGATCCTGGTTATCACGTAGCACGTGTTGTTACTGTTATGGCTGATAAATTATATCCACACACTGGCTGGTTCACCCAGTCTGATGAGCCTCAATGTAAAAAGGAGTACAATTATTCTCTCTGCACACAAGATCCGGATTACGTTGAGTGGCATGAGAGAGAGACACGCCCTGGTGCCTTAGAACGCACACAAGTTGCTCTAATTTATGTTGCAAGGCCGTATTTAACTGCCATTGATGTTACTGAAAGACGAAATTTGGTATACAATTTTAGGAGTCTGTTAGCGAGAGATACGAAAGGCCATGTTACTGCTGGTCTATATTTTTCATTGGTACTTGACAATTCCCAGATGTTTACCATTTTTTACCAAACTAACGACGGCAAGAGAAAAGTTAAAATGCCTTTCAACAAATTCCGCGCTACGTCCAAGGTAGGCAATTCCATTCACCTCCTCAAATTATTTTAATTGTAATATTTACATTCACTATTTCACTCGTTTGTATTTACAATGATAATTCCTTTCCAGGCACCCATTACTGATGATGAACTGAATATGATTAACAAATGTGCTCGACAAATGGATCTAACACCAGAAGATATGAGAAGTCTCCTGACAGCTCTGGCTACTGTCATGAATGATACCTCTTTCGTCGCCCAAGTACTCGCCATAAATTCACGAATCAACACAATTGCTGAAGACAATTAATGAGACTTAAAACAGTCACACGGATGTGTCCAACATGTTTTATTTTAATATTATTGCTCGCTTTCCTTGTACATTTATTTTATTTCGTTTTATTTTATTCTCGAATTGAATTATTATTAAGTGTTGTTTTTCATGACTCGACGGAACAACGTACGTGAGACGTTTCTAAACAGACAAATTTCTTTTGGACAACATAATTATGTTTACACTCATTATTATGGTAATTATTTTTATTATTAATCGCAAAATATGTATTTACCTTTGATTTTCGAAAATATCGTTTATTTTCCCCGTTTTAATATTTTATTTTCTTTTGGGACTACTCTTTCATGGTGGAGGGTATATTTTCTTTTGCGCTATTACTCTATATGATTATTAAAATTTGTCATTTAATTTTTTTGATTGGAATAAAATTTGTGCTTCGAAGCAAACCAAGTGTTGATTTTTTTCTTATTCACCAACTAGCCGTTAATTTTCTACACATTCGCGCAATTCCTGGTAATAAAAAATCTCTTATTTTTGTAAATTAGATTATAAACTGTATGAATAAAATATGCTATTTTTTTATTGAAAATATATACAGAAATATAACGTTTTTTTTTACAAATCTATGAATGACCATGTGGCCGATGAGAATAAGAAAGGAATATAAGTGATAATTTCACGAACGGCGTGTTGAAAACAAAAACATCGACATGACAAAAAGAATCAGCGAAAAAACACTCATTGCTTTATGACAGCTATTTTTATAAATCTCGTGCACTTTTACATCCTTTCATTCATTGATCCTCAGAATACGACAGCGCGTAATCAAAATCTAACAATGAGAAAGGAGTATGTCTAAAGATATTGTAATTACCGTTTAGAAAAAATCCACATGAATAAATAATACTAGAAACAGAAAAAACAATTTTATTCTACTGGGATTGTTTGAAATTGCTCTTCCGCGTCGAATGTATCTACTTTACATACTACTCTGGATCATCAAGTGGGTGTGTTGTTTATAAAATTTTTTCCTGCTGAAAAATTCTATAAGTAAGATATATTTAATGAGCGCTCGAAGGAGACCTCGTTGGCGCCAAATTTGATATTTCCAGAGTCATCACTTGTTCGCCTAGAATAATTTCGAGATGACGATGACGCTGCGCCTGTTGTCAATGTATTCCTCCGTCCTTCCTCTTCTTCGTCCGAATTGCTATTCGATGGTGATGAATTAATGGGTGCGAGACCAATGATAGTACGGACATTATCTGGCAACTTTGATTCTACTGCCATTAATTGATTGTAGATCCCTTCGGCCTTGGATAAAGTCCACGGGAGTTCGATGTGAAGTGAAAGATCATTAATGTGCTTCAAAATTTCGGTGAATCCATAACGATTTTCCATCAATGCACTCTTTTCAGTGTCGAGAATGGCGGCACACAGAAGCAAGTGAAAATTTTTGCACGGCAATTCGGTCCAGAGGACTTCCCACAATTTAATAATGTCGATGGCATTGAATTCTCTCTTAAACAACACCAAGAGCCATCGAAAGCAGAAAAACATATTGCCAGATTCATGGTTACTGAGATACTGCGCTAATTGAGGTTCAGTAATATTCAGTAAAGTATGTAATTGACATAATTGTGCTTTCATTCCTGCCTGATCCATTTCAAAATTTGAACTGACTCTCTCCATGAAACCCACAAAGCTCCAGAATGCATCCACTTCATTATCCATTAGACACAAAATAGGACTCAAAAGATCACTCATTCCCTGAACATAGCCCAGATCAAAATTGTACATGACATAAGTCATAAGAATATCATAAAGTTGTCCTAAATGGGGATTGTTATCTCCAGAATAATACGGATGGGTTCTATCCGTCCTATTAACATCTTTTTCAATCAAACTCTTCCTGCCCCTATAATCTGAAAATCGATTCTCCTGTTCTACTGACATGGATTTCCATTGTAATTTCATTCTGTAATATTCATCAGTTTTCAATTTCCGAAGTTCAATTCTTTCAGCACAAGTTGACTTCCATGGATAATAATTGAGTAGAAATTTCCAAACTTCGTACCTCAAAGAAGGAACGATACCTCCGCGAAAAATAATCTCCCTAACTGTCTCAGAATCGGAAATTCTGCCTTCTGCATCCTTGCACCTATCCCATTGCTCTTGAGAAAGAGGTGCCCCACGAGGACAAGTAGGCCTCGGTGGAAGTAAGCATTGTTGATCCAATTCAGTTATTACTTCATACTCTTCACCATTTGAGCCAGCTGAGCTGAGGGGATGCCCGCTTCTCATTTCAGTTGTTAAAGATCTATTGAGAAGGTCGGCAACAGCTTCTTCCACTGGTTGTTTTACAGGTTCCTTATAAATCCATATATCAGCCAACTTACTGAATGCTTCCAGTGTGGTTTCGTAAGGACGATTGTGCAAATTTTTAACGAATTTCCATACATAATCAGATGTATTTTCCTGAAAGAGATCCAATTCTGCAAATGATCTATTCAGCACAGTGCTGTACTCGTCCAGTACGAGATAGAGATTCTTGTCCGATTTCGATTTGACAAATTTTATGAAACCTCTCAAGGAGTTGACAAAACTCTCAGCATTCGACAGTTGAAAGAATGCTACGTATGTTGTTCCATCTCTCTGCATAAATATCAATTGTTGGCCCCCGTGATTAATTCGAAATGATTTTAATTCGGAGAAAGGTATGCGAACTGTTCTAGGACGAGCGCCTAGGCAATCTGAACTCTCGCAAGAGGAGGTTCTTGTTCGACGTGTATGAGACTCTACGACAGACCATTCGGGATCTTGATCTTGATATTCTGAGACAAATGACACTTCAATCGGTTTCCACTCGATGCACCTCCCAAAGCTCTACAAAACAGTTGATTTTTAGATAACGAAAATCTCTCATTTCTCTTTTCTTTATTTTATCTTACATATTCGACAATGTTCAAGGTTCCCAAGCTGTGTACTTCATCCTCCCTGATGTTCGCACCTCTTAGAACAATCCCTGTATGTATACAGAGGTCCTGAGAACAGCAGACATATCAAGACCATTAATTTTTTTTTCACCCCATCTCAAGCCTTTTCTTTCATCCTTCGTAACTGCGCATTATTATTCCACATTGAGGTTATGTTGATAATACCATTTTATTCAATCATTTGAAATTTATTAACCCATTAACAACAGCATTATATCATTGCTCTTCGAGTCTTGCAGAGATGAAATCAATATTTCTCACAGTCATCCAAAAAAATCTTAAACTATGATTCTATCCATTTATACGAGGAAAAAAATTAACAACTATGAGAAAATCTTCTCACCATGGATTTCCTTTCGCTGATTATTTAAAATATTCTTGATTAATCTGTTCCCACGTTTAAATGATTATTTATCAGAAAATCGCCCTCGTATGGAATGCGCTGGGAGTAATTGATAATTGTCATAAAAATTCATTGCATTGTGAAGGTTTGAATACCTTGCCTAGTTCCGTTGGCTCGAACATGTTGAAGTAATTTTTTAATCAAGTGATTTTTAACAAAACTGATGTTAACAAAATGGAAAATTGCACTGATCATACTAAAGACGTAAATCTTTTATCTAGATGACAGCCAACCAGGCACTCACTCAGGCAGGCACATTGCAGCACTACACCCAAAGAGGATTGACCAAGGTAGAGAATCAATTCTGGGGGTTTGAGTAACCCCACCAGCACCGTAGTAACTAACCCCAAGTATGAGAGGGCGCCACGAAATTGCTTTTTGTTTTTTATTATAACGCAGAAAATAACCACTTTCACCACTTACACCATTCATCTACTCGGATGAAATATATCTCGCAGTCATTCCTATTGAATGTTCCTTCACCAACCGATAGTAGAAATTGGGCAATTTCAATGTCACGACTTTGTCCGATAAGGCATGCGTGCGAATCTACCGGTATAATTTATCAAATCAGCCTCAAATCCCTCCCCCGCAGACGTAAATGTCGATGCATAAATGAAATTCAAAAATTGTTTGATTTTGGCGCGCTAGTGGCGCGGATTGTAATATCTGGGGGGAGAATTTCCGTTGGTGGTGGCAGGTGGCACACACCCGAAAGATTTCCACGGATTCCCAGTGGGGTAGCTCTACTAAAAAAAAGCTCACACACATTTCTGTCGTCAAACGGATCAAGCTTTTTGTGAGACTTGGATCAGTCACAAAAAGCGGGATTCGCTTTTCGCATAGGAAATTAATAATCACAAGTGAAGTGCATAAAGTTGGGAAAAATGAGGGGAGACAGTCACGCGTTTTATTAATTTTCTCGCCCTCGAATAATAATTGCCGTGAGTAAGCCATATCAAATCGACGTATCTATCTGTCTTTTTTTTTCTCATCGCCTGAGTTCGGGTCGATTGAACGGGTCGGATTAGGTTGGGCGTCCCTCGTAGTACAGAACATCGTTGAAAAGTGCTTCACTATTTCATTTATTATTTCATTAATTTACTTAATCATTGCTGCAGTCTCCCTCCGTTGTATTGTCCTGTGTTTGTGTTTTTTTCCCCCTTCATTGGATTGAATTTCGGCTAAATTGTTATTGACAAGTGATTTTACCATGCGTCTCATGTCTCGGTAATTTTTTTCTTCGTCTTTTTTTTAAAAGTAATTTTAATCGATGTGACTTGCAATAATATGGCTGGATTGTATTGCCGGCCTCGGAGCCATGAATTTTTGGAGTTATCTCGCCCTTTAGTTCTGGGAAATTGCCTCAGGTGCGATTCATTCTGGCTGATTGTCTTTGGATTTTATTTTAGACAATTTACCGTTGTGAGTCATGCTTGAAGAATTTATTGTGGTCATTTGTTGTCTTGTACTGCTGTCGGTACTGTTTTGGAGACTTGGGACTTGAGGGAAATTATTTTGCTGATTTTTGAATGGGAGTCGAGGAAATTTGGTGCACGACTAATCAATTTTTTTGTGGCAGATAAATGGGAAATTCATTGGATTCGAAATATGCTTTCGGATTAGGATTATATTGATTGGGCTATGGGTAGGAGTATCAATGGATGAAACCACAGATTCCATTGGTTAAACCAATAACTCCAAAAATGTTATGTATTAACTTGTAGTGGGCCCATGGGCTCAGTTGACATCCCTAGAAACTAATTGTCGTTTTTTAAATCATTTACTTTCAATGTTCGCAAGTATTGTTCTTCGAGGATCTCTGAAACTATTGCATTCATTGAAAAATATTGGAAATTACTTGAGAGACCAATGAATAAATTCTTGAAGAACAATTATTAGAATCGAAAAAATTATTTGTTGAATATTGCCAAAAAATAAATAGAATTAATCTGAACAAGAAAGTCGATTTGTTCTAGAAAGACCACTCGCACGAGTTAATGCTCTCTCAGGATTAAAATAGCCCTCAAAGTATAGAGGGATAATAAATTTTATGATCTTACAGAATTGCTATCATATTATTATTTTTATTTAATTCCCCAATTGAAATATCTGAAACAATTTTTCGTACCAAAATTCATTTCGATCTCAAAACAGCCTTAATTATTTAATTAATTCCAAAAGTTCAGTAATTGTTATGATTTCTAAAATACAAAATGTTACAAAATGAATGTTTCACTGTAATTAACCATTCAGAATGTCTAGGGGCTTTTCTGAGTAATAATCCATGTGAAAGAAAAGGTAAATAACGTGTAGTAGCTCACGTACTACAAAATTATGATTACAGTAAGCGAGAATGGAGGAAATGCGTCATCCTCAGCAGGTTGGCAGCAATATTATGACCGGTGCAGCTCCAGCGAATCCAGTATTAAATCATTTGAACAACACTCATCGTCGAGGAAGAGCTAGAGTCACGATGCACGCACTTATGTCTGAAGCTCTGCCTCTGGACGAGGCAGCAAGGCTCGAGATGAAGTCATTACCTGTTAAAACACCAGTCTCTGTCCTCCAGGAGCTACTGTCCAGGCGTGGAACTACACCCAAGTATGAGCTGGTCCAGATCGAGGGTGCAGTTCATGAACCGACTTTCAGATATCGCGTCACCGTTGCTGATGTCGTTGGTGCGTATATTTATTTATTCAAGAAGAGATGCGAAAAATTATTTTTACTTTACATTGACTGCATGAAAACTACCTAATCAGCTTCCATCGATTTGCATTTCCTCCGGAAATTTTGCAGCTATTCCGTTTTTTTCCTTTGCAAAGAAATTTTTCGGTTGTAGAATATACCGGTGTTTTTTTTTCATAGATTGGAATAAGAAATAGTACACATTTTTGGATTTTCTGAATTACGTTCGAAATTTTAATTATATTAATAGGGATCCAGCAAAATATGAATTGTGATTTCCACAGAATGTCATTTTTTTAATATCTGCGTTTTACAAATAATTTATGAAAATTAAACAAGTCAAACAGAATTTTCGAGATTCCTTGGAAAATGCACAATCCATTGTTATTTTTTTACAATACTCGTTATATTAGATTTTCTAAAGGAATAGAGGAAGAATGAAGATAACATTAGCAAAATAATGCATCATTGTCTTGAATATTTTTTCTTCGCAATTGTTAGACAATAGAATTTCTTTTACCAGCGGCATTATCTACCTTTTTAATGCTCATATTCGTAAAATACGTACCGGAGAATATTGTTTTGTCTTATCGTCAAAGATATCCAAGAACTTTATTCATTTTTAGATTTTTATAGATGTATTAAAATGACGAATTGTTAGAATGAATCATTTATCGCTAAAAAGATTCATAAAGAATTCATGGTTCGTTCTGAAAATAATTTATTCTGAAAGAATTTCATCGACAAAATTGATGATTTAAAATATGTAAATATACGTTATGGTCTAATTGTCGATATTTTTAAAAGAACAAAGGGACATAGTAGAAATGGGGATGAGACAGGGAGGATAAGGATTAAGCGATTGAAGCAGATCCAATTGTTTCAGCAATGGGGACCGGAAGGTCCAAGAAGGACGCTAAACACGCAGCTGCCAAGGCTGTTCTTGATAAACTGATTGGAGTCAATATCGAAGCTCCTGAGACACCTATTTCTAACAGCATTCCTGAGTGAGAAAAATTTCCATTTACAACACTTTTCTTTTTTATATTGTTCCCTCTTCAATTTTTCCAACTATACTTTCTCCTCCACCAGTCGCATTTAATAAATATTTTCTCTGAAGAATGCAAAAAATTCATTTATTTTTAAAATTTTGTCTTCTTCAGGACCCAGAATATCCAAGATATGCAAGGCAGTTACGGTGAAGAAAAAGTGATAAATAATCCGATAGGATCACTCCAGGAGATGTGCATGTCACGTCACTGGTCACTTCCAAAATACACGATGGAGGGTGAGGCTGGTCTTCCCCACGAGAGACAGTTCACAATCGTCTGCTCGATGCTCAAATACCGTCAGGTGGGCCAGGGCAAAAGTAAGAAACTGGCAAAACATCAAGCAGCCCACAAGATGTGGCAAACACTGCGGGATGCCACTGATCAAGCTCCAGGAGTCGACGAAGACGAGGTAATTTTCATTTTTGAATATGATCTTGGATGAAAACGAGTGCAAAACGTCTCATTCACTGAGGAAAAATATATCTTAATATTTAGATTTTGTTTACTAAATCGTTATCTGCCCTGAAGAACTCTCAGAGAGTTCGAAACGTTGACATTGAGAAGAAATTTCTTTAAATTTATTTATGAATAATTAGTACCGAGAGAATAGAATAAAAAATAAAAATTATACACGGTTGATGAAAAAATTCTAGATATTTTAATATCATTTATTCCCAAATCATCGAAAAAGAAAGAATTTTAGTATTTGAGTATTCAATTTTTTCACGACTTTATTCAGAAAATGAAGTTTAAATGCATGTGAGAATGTTGGAATGCGTGAGTGAATTAGAGAAGTGGAAGTGATACCGATTTTCTCCCTATGTATCGCTTTTATACGCATAAATGATAAGTCTGGCCCTTGGAATCTATAACGGACACATTGATTACGTCATCTTAAAGATGATCTCTGGAGTAAATGGACCATTTCCACTTCATTCAAATGTTGAATCACCTTACCATTGTTTATTATCGTTTTATGTAATTATTTATAAATGAATGTCCGTTATAGATTGTCGAGAGGAATGCTAATGTCAGTGCTCGTTACGCTGACCTCAAAGACAGCAAAATATCCACTCTGACGACACCACACAGTCACAAAGTTTCGCAATTTCACAAGAACCTCAAGTCTTCCACTGGAGTTAAATTGTCGGAACTTCAGGTGTGTATTTTAGGGTTTTTAAGAATTAAAGTAGCTCTACCCTACTCGCTTTTTTAATATTCTTGATATTTCATTATATGTTTGCATAAAACGCTGAAAACCGGATTATGTTGAGAATATGAAGGAAAATGAATGATGACGTGAAGCAGGGATTAATGAGCTGAAAGCAATTAACTGTTTCAACCTATAAATGTGATACTAGCGAATGACAAAAATTACTAATTCGATTATTTTCGTTTCAGCATACTTGTCTGAATGATGGAGTTATCAATCTCGAGCAATTCCTCCAGGAGATAGCCTCTGAGCAGCAGTTCGAGGTGACTTACGTTGACATTGAGGAGAAATCGATTAGTGGTGAGTTTTTTATGGAGAAGAATAATTTATTGACGAAAATTATGACTTCCTTGAGTTTATGGTACAAAAGAGAGATTAAGTCCTCGAGTATTCATCTAAATTGAGTTTGAGCTCATTTTTTTTCGGTGACTATTAAGTCGAGACGAACGTCCTGGTCGTTGATTGGAATTGTATTCCTGACTTGCTCGCTGAATGCAACAGCAATTAAATGAGGCTTTTTCTCTTGTGCCTCGAAGCATTTCCAAAGAAATTTATCGTAGTAACCCATCCCGTGGCCCAAGCGGTGACCTAGATGAGAAATTATTAAATAAGCTTAAAAAACAATATGTGCCAATTGAAGAGTCATAATGAGCTCTTCATAATCTCATTTGAATTTGTCGAATTCCGACTATATCCAGAATCCGACTATATCGCTGCGACCGTAAACTGAATTTTTCATAGCAATTTCGAATACGAGAGAAATTTATTTTTCGGCTTCGTTTTTGCCGGAATTCAATTCCGCACCGGAAGAATCAATGGATTGTTTACATCTCCGAGCCTGAAGGTAGTAAAGTGAGCTAACCGAAAGACACGCGAAAAAAGAAATTGAGGAAAGGTGTGACTATAACAAGAGTAAATGTAAATAAAATTTATAATAATTTTTGTTATTCCGGTTAATTAAATTTCAATATGTTGGTAGTGCCAAATTATTTAATTTCCGACCTAAACAAAGAAATCCGCACCCTTGAAATAATTGACAAGTCAAAAATTCCGGAACTCAATTTCTAAATCTCTGAAATCCCTATAAGTTCTAGAATAATTAATAAAATTCCATGTTTCTATTCTACTGAAGAATGAAAATAAATTAGGATTGTGAAAAATTGAAATTCAATGAAGTATTTGATTTTCGATTGATTCTAATGATGTGGAGATTATTACATCCGTTATTGAAGAGCTAGAATGTTTGCACATGCAATTGAACAATTAACCTGATTTAGTGAAAGCAACTCCAGGTAGAATCACTAGGTCGAGTCCGCCAGTTTCCAAAGCATCGTCCCTGATGTCTCCCTTGGCAGGTTGCTTAATATTCCACTTGGTCAGAGGTAATTTTTCGTAGTCCTCCATGTCCTTGAGCTTCACCATGCTCATGGAGTTCCCCACATACCTGGGTACGAACGCCTCCTTTCCTTTTTTAAAAATATCATCCAGGATCTTCACTGTGTCAATCTCATCCTCAGTACTTAAGTACAATGAGACTCGTCTACTCCTCTCGTACTCGGGAAGTTTTGTCAACTGATAGTAAAAGTCATCCATTGATTCTCTCAATAAAAATCTATTGCGGAAGTCCATTAATTTATTTCCATAAGGAGCAGATTTTGAATATTTCCAGGAATTTTGAAATAAATTGAATAATTATCGACTATTTGAAAGATCAATTATTATTATTTCAAATGACATCGATTTTTATCGACTTTTTTTTGCAATTTTTAATCAGAACATCAATTATTTTCAATAATTGATACGAATGTACGTGAATAAATGAATGAGTGGTTAAATAAATAAATTTTTGCAGAAAAAAATGAATTTAAAATCACATTTCCTTGGAATATTGTATGGCTTCGGTGAAAGCAAGCTAAATTAGTTTCTCTCTAATTAAGAAGTCAACAAGTTGTGTGTTGATCACCAAGGAGTCCTCCTAACCTCTAAACCTGGAGAAATCAAAATCCCGATAATTTATAATGATTTACCTGCTGGAAAACAGCAGTAGACTGTCTGGCTTTCTCTTCAGGGCTGAGGCCCGAGATGATATTCGCAATTTCCTTGCGGAGGGCACTCTTGGCTGCTTTAATTCCTTCCATAGCTAGTCTTGTTGTGCTCATGATGATGATTAAGGGGGCGCTTTTATCATATTCGTCACCTGATAAAAATTACCCGGGGGGGATGTGTCAAAGGGTGTCATAATTTCTACAGTTCAAATCTTATCGATAGTTTCTGGAAGGGGAAAGTTATGAAATTTATTCGGGGAAGAACAAACGGAGATTGTCTCATTGACGATTGAGACGAATATTATTTTACATCTCCAGAGTTCAAGCCGATAAAAAAATCCGGTGACGACCCAAATTCTTCAATTTCACCATTATTTGAAATAAAAATTATCCCAAAGTTTATATTTAACTGATCAACGCACCTACCGCAGATGAAATCGTTTTTGGAATGATTTTTCTACCCGAAATTTTTCTGGTGTTCTTCTCATAATTAACCAGCCTTCTCTATTTAATGAGTTTGATGATGTACACAATATATTAACTCAATACAAAAGAGAGAAATTTTTATTAAAAAGTTCTCATAAATGAATCTCCAAATTTCTAAATTCCAGGTAAATGTCAGTGCCTGGTGCAGTTGTCAACTCTCCCAGTGGCAGTGTGTTATGGCAGTGGAGTAACAAGCAAGGATGCCCAGGCCAGTGCTGCGCAGAATGCCTTGGAATACCTCAAGATCATGACTAAAAAGTGAGCCAGCGCTCTTTCACCGGCAGCAGCCACTCCCTCCCCCATATCCTTTCCTGAAAACGTTCCATCGAATCCTGTGAAAAATCCAACCGATAGAATCCGAAATCAGTCCCAACCTCAACCTCCAGTTCTCGAAAAATCCCCCGCCACCTCGACACCCTCTTCGCCCCCCGAGAAACCTGCAGAATCTACCACAAATCAGGGTAATACACGAGAAATTAATCGGGAGTCAACAGGTCCTAAAAATAAAAATATGAGTCTGAGGAAGAAGACAGGACATTTGAAAACAGATAAACATCAGTCGAATCCCAACGTCTCAATCATGACCATCGCTGGGCAGAAGTCATCAGCGAAAGCATCAATCGAGATTTCCCAATCGTCTCAAAGGAATAATAACAACTCAGTCTTGAAGGTGTCACCAGGAACGTTTCCACCCCTTCGATCACCCCAAACAATTCTGAGTGAATCGAGAGGCAAGAAGAATGAGGTCCAAGACAACTGCCATAAGGAATCGCTCCAGGGATTCTACAGACGACAAAATTATCCTCAGGGGCATGGAATGTATCCCGAGGTCTCGTTCAACCAATTTCAGTCGTCGAACTTTAATGGAGGGTTGCAGTTCGATCTTGGGAGTTATCAGGGCATCAATCAGGTGTCGCAGGTGCCTGAGGGCTTCCAAGAGACTCAGTTTGTTGGGACTATTTATGGGGATGAAAGTGAGTACCAAATGCCCGATAATTCGGTGTTTATTGGAGTTGTGGAGAGAAGTACTGGGGGGCAGCAATTCAGTGGGGGCAGCTATGCTGGAGCTGTCAGGAGTGATCTCGTGCCCAGATTAAGGAGAGCTAGGTTCAATAAGTGATGGTGAGAGATTTGAGGATTTTTTCTTTTGTCTTTCAGTTGAATCTGCGGAAAATTTCTAGAGAGGCTTTTTCAGAGACTTTGGGGTTTTGCATGCTTTTTTTCTTGGGTATGAGAATTGCAGGGTCATGGAGGGAGTGAATGGAAATGAAAATGAAAATTAGTTGTGGAGAAAGTTTACGATTTTTCGGATTTTTTTTTTCATTTAGAAAATATGTAGATAATTTCTTTCATTCGGTTTTCGTTTTTCACGGTTTTGTTCTGAGGATAAGTTTATGCAACAGCCCAATTCTTCGGTAGGGGCATCGGAATCCAGAATATTCCCATTGGCTGAAACATTTCGATTTTTTACGTTTTTTTAATTTATTCCTACAGGATTGCTTTATTGTGTACAAAAAAAATCGCGTAATACCCCAATTGTTGCCGAAAATCATCTCTTTAGTTTTCTACCGTTTTGTTTTGTTTTTTTTTTTCTGTTAGTTTAGCCTTTGAGTAAATTTGTCAGAAGATGCGGTGAAAATTATTTCAATTTCAGATCCAGTTTGAAATAAATTTTAACCCATCTTTGGGGTACTTGAAGTTGTGTTGAGTTGTGTGATTAAATCATGGAATTGTCCCAGATGAACGAATATATTTGTTTACAACTTGAACGTTTTCATCGCGTCGTTATCAATTTTTTGAGGTCGTCGACTGGTGAGAAAGAATGATAACAGTTTCACCAGAACGACCCGGAATAATATTTATTTTCATTTATTGAGTTTTCTATGCGTTGAATTGAAATGCAATGATAAATATTCACGTGAATCTCTGTGGTAGACAAAACTGTAAATAAAGTGATCCACGATCCGTTTCGAAGTGATGAAGGTCGTGAGCCAGTGTTTCGGTTTTTCTTCTTTCACCTGGTGGTATTTTGTCGGAGAATACCTCGTCCTGAAGCTATCGTAAATCAATTTTGCAGAGGAGTGTCGAAATGAGAAGAATAAAAAAAAAAAGTTTTGATTCATCAATTTTTTCACTCCTCCAATGAATCAGCAATTTCGATACAAGAGTAATCAACTCGATAACACGAAATTATCGACTTACGAGAGTCTCTGATGACGTATGCATAATTGTGAAGAATAATTAATGAATAATTAATTAAGTGTATAAGAATTAATCACAAATCGAGTGATAAATTTACAAGCTATACTTTGCATAGAACTAGTGGAAGTTTTCCAATAATTGAAGAGAGAAAAAATAATAATAAGGTAATGAGTAATTAGCTTCTTTGCCAGCTATGTTTCCCATGTGCTTAAGGTGTCTATTTCTTCGGAGAGGTCTATCCAGATATTTTATGTAATTAATTACGATTATTCATGCCTGGATATTATTTCTGATCAATTAGTGAGGAAATGAGATGATCAAGGGTGAGTTAATCATCAGGTAATTAATTAAATGCTGGATCTCCTTTTCGAGTTTCTCTGCACAGTGCGAACGTAGCACTTACGATCCCAAGCATATTATTTAATTGATAATGGATCGTGAATTAATGTAATGTTAATGAAAAACGGTGTATGTTTTTTCCTTTAATAATTGTAGTTTGTAAAATCATAAGCATCGCTTGTATCCCGTAAGAAGTTAATCACTAATGTTTAATGGAGAATGAAACGTGTTGGAGGTCATTAATGGAGATAAGTGGGGGAGAGAAGGGGAGGTGATTGTTGAGTTAAGAATATTTCAATTCATTTTTTTTTCCTCCCAATTTTCAATTGTTCCCTTTTTTTCCATTTTTCCAGATATATTTTTTATAATTTTTTTGAACAGTAATTCATTGTGTTCTTTCCGAGAGATAATATTTTCAATGATTTTTCCACTTTTAATTAATGAAAT